GTAGAAGAGAAAGGGGAAGACAGAAATATCAATGTGAGAAAAGCACATCGATTGGTTGTCTCCTGCATAAGCCCCAACCAGGCGTAGGCTGGGGAGGAGCATGCAACCATGGTATGTTCCCTTGACTGGAATTGAACCTGGGATCCTTTGGTCCACAGGCTGATGCTCTGTCCACTGAGCCAAATTAGCTATGGCTGCTCCTTCCTTTTCCATAATGTTTTGAGAGAGCCAAAGCAGCTCTGCCTAGTCTCTCTCCTGTTGCTTCTGGGCCTTTCTTGTTCCACTATCTCCAGCTTTGATAAATGTACTCTCAAAATTACCTGGATCATACTGTGAAATCTTTCCTCTGTGAAGAACCATACACTACCTGAGGCAAATCTGCTCTGGGCCTGGTCCCTTACTAGTAATAGCTTGAACTACATTACACATATATAAAAAATTATGTACATACATACATATATACATATATAAAATATATATATATTATAGATCTATTTATATAATTTTTTTCATATATTTAGTTTTAATGTTCAATTTTTCCTTAGAAAAACATTTAGAAATCAGTTAAAGGGGATTTCAGCTGGCAATAACCTACAAGCCTTAGTATATATACTTAGTATATATACTGAGTATATAGTATATAGTATTTGCATATTAGCCTTTTATTACTCAGTATATATACTATATAATAAAAGGCTAATATGCAAATTGTCCCCTCAACCAGAAGTTCGACCAGGAGGCAGGTTGGCCAACTGCCCAAGAGAAGTTATTCCTTATAACTTCTCTTATAAAAGATCTTGGAGTAAGCAATTTTCTTAACAATAAAATATAGATAATACTTATCCTATAAGGATATTTCATGACTCAACTGAGAGAGGGGGAGTGTCCTTGCAGAGTTTTAGAAATATTAGTTTCTCATTTATTCAGTATCTATAGCTTGCTTATGCTTAATACTGTGTCAGCTTTGGGGAAATGGAGATACGGACAATATGGTCTTTCTTCCCAATGAGCTTAGAGTTCAGTAAGGGAGATTGACAGTCACCAATTATTTAATTAAAACTGCAATAGATCTTATAAGGTAAAGCCCGAGGAACTTGAGCTCAAGGGAATCAACATAATCTTGGTGCTCAAGGAAGGTGTCCTGGAGGATGTGACATTTTAGCTGAGTATTTAAGGATGAATAGATATTCCTCTTTCTTAGTTATCTGTTTTATTATCTTTAGTAACCTAAGGTAAACCAGTAATCAGGACTCTTCAAACCATACTATTACCTTCCTTGTCTAAAGCTCTTACTTTTTACAGGAAAATTCATTCTTTTTGGTCGTTAGGAACATGCATATGGTAGAAAGAAATGACCTTTGTTCAGGAGATCTATATACTATTTGCTGATATGCTCCTTCTATGATTATAAACAGGTTAGCCTAAGGAGGGAATGCCTTCCTTTCCTGTGAACCTAACTTCTCTAATGAGTATTCTTAGGCCATTTTTCTGTTATTGTTATCCTCAGATCCCCAAATGCCAGACCAACCCCTACCAGAGTTTCCTATAGTCAGTATTCACATGTTCCCTTGGTAAGCCCATCTTTCTAAGTTTCAGTGATATTTCTGATGATCTGAGAGATATTAAAGATTTCTATCCGACTGATGTACTTGACTTCTTTCTTTCTTTCTTTCTTTCTTTCTTTCTTTCTTTCTTTCTTTCTTTTCTTTTCTTTTCTTTTCTTTTCTTTTCTTTTCTTTTCTTTTCTTTTCTTTTCTTTTTATTTTTATCTTTCTTTGTGGATAGAGCAGCAAGCTGATGTAAAATTTGTATTCTAGTGTCCCTTTTGGTCTTCTTCCTTGGTATTTGTGAGGCACTGGTGCAACATCTACACCTCTTTTCTTGGTCGTTTATTTTTAATTTATTAAAAAAAATTCTTTATTGTTTAAAGTATTACTTAAGTCTCCTTTCCTCCCCATTGACCTCTCCACGCTGTCCCCAACCCCTAGCACATGTCCTCACCCCCTACTGTCTGTGTCCATTGGTTATGCTCTATGCATGTAGCATGTATACAAGTCCTTTGGTTGATCTCTTACCCCTTCAGCTCCCCCTCCCCCTGCTTTCCTCATAGGTTGGACAGTCAGTTTGCTGCTTTTATGACTCTGGTTCTATTTTTGTTCATCAGTTTATGTTGTTCATTATATTCCACAAATGAGTGAGATCACGTGATATTTATCTTTCTCTGACTTGTATATTTCACTTAGCATAATGCTATCCAGTTCCATTCATGCTGTTGCAAATGGTAAGAATTCCTTCTTTTTTTTTTACAGCAGCGTAGTATTCCATTGTGTAGTTGTACCACAGTATTCTAATCTTTTCTCAGTCTTTTAAAGAACTCTTCGGGGCCTGGAGTAGTGACAGATGAGGGACTGCTATGGAATGTACAGGTCAACCAGCACCTTCTAGATCAGGCAAGCATGGTGTGTCCTGGCCTCACTGACACAGATAGATCACAGGGCTCATCCTGCAAGGGATCATGTGTGTTCATTCATTCTTAAACACGACAGTGCCGTGATCTCACTGAAGTTAGCCTGTAACAACGGGCAAGTCACTTCATCTTTCTGAGCCTTAGTGTCCATTTTGTACAATTATTTATAAATTAATTTATGTTAAGATTAAATAAGGGAATGTGTGTAAAAGGTTTACTATTGTGTTTGTACTTTAGGCCCACAAATGTTTGAGTCTTAAAGATCCATTCTAGACTCAGTGTGTGGATAAGCTATATACACTGAGTGGCCAGATTATTATGATCTCTGAATGCATAATAATTTGGCCACTCAGTGTATATACTATATAATAAAAGGCTAATATGCAAATTGTCCCCTCAACCAGGAGTTCGACCAGCAGGCAGGTTGGCCAACTGCCCATGTCCCCTCCTCCTGGCCAGGCTGGTCAGACCCCACCCATGCATGAATTCATGCATTGGGCCTCTAATATATATATATATATATATATATATATATATATATATATATATATGCGCTGAGTGGCCAGATTATTATGTGCTCAGATATCATAATAATCTGGCCACTCAGTGTATTTTGCTATTGTATTTATGAAACTAGTGTCATACTGTTTATTGGTATTCTTCAATGCCTTATATGACCATGCAAGGCAGAGAACAGGGTGAAGAAAATGCTCTCACATATTTAAATGTTTTTGACTTTTAAATTTGAACTTAAAGTTTTTATGCAGCTTCCGATTAATTTGTGGTTGTTGGACCAAGGTGTCCATTTTTTCCCTTTATTTTTCCCTGCCACCCCCAATTTAGGAATATTAGGTATGTTTTGGCTTAGCTTGTGTTTGTCAAGCTGGTGGAAGAAACAGCATGGGACCAGGAGAAACTTTTCTATTTTAGCCCTTGTATTATTGACATTAAATGCTATAAACTAAGCTATTAAAGCCCTAAAAGCTACAGCCTTAGGTTGTATACCATAAGAAAATGGAATTAAAAAAGAAAACAATTTTGATCATATCAAAATCATAATATTTAGTTACCATTAAAAATGGGGGGAATATTCCATTTTATTAGTAATAAAAGGAGTATAAAACAAAATAACAAAAATTTACCAGACTATTTTACCAATAAAATTGGCATTTTTTAAAATGTAAGAGAAAGGCCTGGCCAGCATGGTTGAGCGTGGACCTATGAACCAGGAGGTTATGGTTCGATTCCAGTCAAGGGCACATGCCTGGGTTGTGGGCTTGATCCCCAGAGTGGGATGTTCAGGAGGTGTCCTATCCATGATTCTCTCTCATCACTGATGTTTCAGTCTCTCCCACTCCCTTCCTCTCTGAAATCAATAAAATACATTAAAAAATAAATAAAATGTAAGAGAAAGAAAAGAAGGGGAGAGATATTGAATTGGGCACTTGGTACTGATAGAAATATAAATAAGTATATTTTGCCTCCCTATAAAGGAATTTATCAATATTTATCAAATGCTATAGTGATGTTAATGCCTTTGACACAATAATTACACTTTTGGGATCTTAGCATAAGAAATAATCAGAAATGGACATATATCATTATAACATTAGGAACTTGGAAACAAATGTCCAAAAATAGGGGATTGATTTTATTGTTAAGAATGACAAACTATTTGAAAAAATAATAACGGGGAAAAGTTTATAAAATAAGGTAAAGTGAAAATAACAAATCAGCACAAACCCAGTGTTTTGAAATATAATTTATTTAAATACACATAGTGTGTGTGTGTGTGTGTGTGTGTGTGTGTGTGTGTGTGTGTATGACAACTAAAGCAATTCATCAGAATAAAATATCTCCGAGTGATGGGAATGTTGGTGGTTTTTATTTTCTTTATTGGACTTCTCTTTATTTTTCAAATTGTTATGTTTATAGCCAGAAGAAAATATATTAATTAAAAAATGCATACTTTAAAATCTTTGTGCTGAGATGGTTATGTGAAAACATAAAGGGGAAAGCCTAATTCCCTAATGTGTCAGTGACTTTTTTTTTAACCTTCACCTGAGGGTACTTTGATTTCTAAAGAGAGTAGAAGAGGGAGGGAAAGATAGAAATATCAATGTGAGAGAAAAACATCGATTGGTTGCCTCCTGCATGTGCTCTGACCAGGATCCTGGCTGGGAAGAAGCCTGCAACTGAGGTATATGCCCTTGACCAGAATCGAACCCGGGATCCTTGGGTCTGCAAGCTGATGCTCTATCCACTGAGACAAACCGGCTAGGTCTATCAGTGACTTTGATAGTGATAGCACTTGATGTTTGTTGTTGTTTTTAATATTTTCTTTAATGTGCTTCTGTTATAAAGCATATTATCTTCAATTAGAAAAGCAAATATAAAATAAATGGAGAAAAATACTTTAGAAAATTCATATCACATTTGAATTGAGGTCATAATTTTTAGATATTCTCTTAGGCCTGATAATGAAAATTGTTAACAGTGGTGGTAAATTATAGATTTTTGTTTTTTCCTACAGATATTCCTGAAATTCCAGAAAGCATCTCATTCTGTAAAGCACTACAGATAGCTGACTTCAGTGGAAACCCACTGACTAGGTAAGCTTTCTGGGTCTAGTACTAAGGATATCTTTTTGGAGAACCAAGCAAAGAACATAACCAGGTTACTCATCTTAGTGAGGATGCCTGGGTGGAGGCTGTCTTTATCACGGATGCTTAACCTTCACAGACATTCATTTGTAAATAGCACTGTAGACTGGAAGGTACATTGTGCTATTGATGGAACACAGAAGGTGCTAGAGGATTTGGGGGATACATGCTGGAGTGCCAAAACAGGAGTGAGGAGTGCATTTCTGAAGCAGTAGGAGAGCTGGAGTAGTTTATAAATCCTCTATTGATCCATCTTATCCCACAAGATAAGATGGAGTTCTAAACTCCCTTAGAGCTTACTCCATGGATACCCAGGGAGAAGTCCTATTAGAGATATTTTTCCACTCCAGGAGCGAAACATATTTAGTATCTTGTTTGTTTGTTTGAAAACAACTCTACCGACACCATTATTTCCATAGTCTAGCAATAGCTGTGAGGAATTCTTTGGGTTTAGTCTTCTACATAAAGCCACCTTTGCCCGTCCTGAGTGTAGCCGAGTGGTGCTATTGTGAGCCCTTCACTGAGGCTCTTGGCTCAGTTGTGAGCCCACTGACCACTAGCTTCCAAGCACCTGTGCGCCCACACAGCAATGCATACACAGCCCTCGAGAGTCTGTCCAGAGATTTCTCTGGGCCAGATGGGTCCATTTCTAAGGTTTTTCATGACTATGTAAGCAGCCTCAGGAGAAAGATACTTTTCCCTTTCATTTCCTCCATGTGCTCCTCCCCTCCACCCCCCTTTTAGAAAAAAGAGATGTAGGAAGATCAAGATTAAATTAAAATTTGGGATTTGTCTCACCCATTTCAAAATTGCTTGGGACTTCTTGGGTGTGGAATGATGGGGGAATGCCCTCTTTAATTTTGTTTTTTCCATATTTGCAAATTTTCAAGAAGTAAATATGTTTTTAAAAATATTTCTGGCTTCCCCTGTTTGAATTTCAGTGAGGAAGTCACTACTAGCATTTATTTATTTTTATGGGAAATAGTAATCTAGTAAGCTGTAATCTAATTGCTTTCTAATTTATCACTGTGCCAAGCCTTACCTCTTTCTTAACCATCTTCCATGCAATTGTTCCTCTTCTTCAAACCTTTAACTCCTGTTCCTGTAAGACAGAGTCTGGGCTCCTTGATTTGCTCTGCCTTCTCCCCGACCCCTCTCTGACCTTGATCTCTTTCCATCTTCATTGCCCTCAAACATCATGCTCTTCTGCAATAAAGTGCTCCAAGGCCATCCATTTCACCCTCTCTCTCTTGAATGATGCCAACCCTTTCACCCTCCTTTAGGAACAGCTGGAGTATCATGTCTTGATTAATCCCCACAGTCCCCTCCCCATCTGGTCTTCCATAGTCCTCTGTGCATACTTATTTCATAACACTTGACATTTACATTTAAGTTCTTTTCTTTGACCAAGACTCCAGGACTAGACTGAGAAAGCTGAGTTGTGTTCCTCTATTATTTGTCGATATATTTTCAACCCAACTATAATTTCTGAAATGGAGCAAGCATTCAGTAAATGTTTATTGAACTCACTAAGCTATTTATCCCTCAGGCAAGTTAGTAGAGTTAGGCAGCTGGGAAATATTCATTATGCTGCCCCCCCCGCCCCCCCCCCTTTATTTTTTTTAACCATTTAATTGCTTAATCCTCTTTTCTACTTCTCTAGCTTTCCTTTTCTAATGTCTGCTGACATAGGACTTTACCATTATCTTAAAACTCTCCCTCCTGGCACACACCCACACTGTGTGAGGATTTATTGGGCTTTTCCCTGGTCTCATCTTTGGCAAGTTTCTTAAAGTAAAGCCCTTTTAATTTGGCAGGTGCACTGTTTTAAGAATTAAGATGTTTGTGAGTTAAGTGGATTATAAACATTATTTAGCTTGGCCTACTTATCTTATGGCAAAATAAAGTTAAGCTCAAAAAATTTAAATCAGCAGTTGCCAACCTTTTGGACCTCATGGACTGTGGACCACCAGTTGGCGACTGCTGATTTAAATGACCTTAGGAGATCATGAAGCCCCTGAGTGGCATCTCAGATTATAATTCCTTTCTCCTAGCCTTCAGTCTGTGCTTCTTCAGTACATCGTCTAGGTTGGCTCTTAATGTTAACAGATAGGAAAAAGCAAACCGTCCATTTAAAAACTAATTTTTATTATATTTAAGGTCATTTTAGCTAATTTTAAAATGATATATTTTCTGGTTAAAAACTCAGGCAAAAAAGATAAGTTGCATCATTATAATCGAAATAAATAAAAATTTTCAATGAAAAATGTATTTCTGTTACACTATGGAAGAGGCTTCAGCTTTGTAAAAATCATTACCAAGAATGTATGTCAATGATTATGAACATTCCAGTTAATACTCTTATCTTGCAGGGCGTGGGTTTGGTGTTGAAGTTTGGAATTATCTGTATAAAATGTCAAGTAGTAACTTAGTATTTGCTTTTCAAAAAAGGAATCTGGAAGGAAAAAAATGGAAGATTCTAATCTAGAGACTATCTAAAGCAAATCTTCTCCCCCCCCCCCCAAGTTATATGTTTTATTGTCTACCTTTGACATATAGAAGAATCATCATTTTAGATGCAATGAGATTTTTCTGCCTTCAAATGGTTCCCCCTTTCCCTAAATACTGGTAACCATAGAAATATTGAAAGTAAACTTTCTTTCTAAGTTTATAGTTTATTTTGAAACCTTGCTATTTGGTGGAGTTTAAGAGAAGTACGAAAAATGTCCTTTTGTGTATAACATAGTGAAGCGTAATTATCTTAAGTGATTGGCATCTTAAGTCAAATTAAAAGAAAAATATTAAGAAAGTAATAGTTGGCTGTCAGCTAGTCAATTCTAAGCAATTCATAGCTCTGCTATGGGCATTATAAGCTGTCATGTGTTTCATTATAATTGTACGGGCTAGATTTTCTCTCTATTTTCTGCTAATCGATAGTCTTTTTACTCTTAGCTACAGGGACTATCATTTCTTTCATACAGCACTCATTAGCCACACATTTCCCTTCCTTTATTCTTAAAGCCTGCACTTTTTCCTCTTTAATTTTTTTCTGGATCACCCTACCAACAAGTGCTTGTCATGCCCTATACTTGTTTTGTTTTGTTTTGTTTTTTCCTTGTAAGTGTCATATATAGGAAGTCAAGGCAAACTTGCTATGCGTAATATAATTTTTTGGAAGTTCCTTTTTTTAAAATTTAAGTATTTAATGAACATAGCAGTTTTAGTTTTTTAAAATTTATCTTTATTGTTGGAAGTATTATAGATGTCCCCTTTTTCCTCCTTCCCACTTTCCCTCTCTACCCCTTTCCTCTGAAATTCATCTGTCTGTTGCATGTTTCACTGTCTCTGGGTCTGTTTTGTTTGTCAGTTTTTTTGTGTTAATTAGATTCCACATATAAGTGAAATCATGTGATACATGTCTTTCTCTGACTGGCTTATTTCGTTTGGCATAACATTTTCCCGGTCCCTCCATGCTGTCTCAAAGGGTAAGAGATCCTTCTGTTTGAGGTTATTTCAGTTAGCATGTAGAAGAGATCATTCTAATTACCTTTAGTTTACACTATATATACACTTTAAAAAAAATTAACAACCTTTTTTGTTTGTTTTAGATTACCAGAAAGCTTCCCTGAATTACAGAATTTGACATGTCTTTCTGTAAATGACATCTCGTTACAGTCCCTACCCGAGAACATTGGCAAGTAAGTTTTTTATGGGATGTTTCTGTATATAAGGACAAAAGGAAGCCTATATCATCCATTCCACCCTCCTTCCCTTTTAAATTCTTATTTTTCTATGCAGAAAGCCATTTACTTAGTCTTCACTTTCACCCTCAAGAAAGATCATAGCCAGCCTCCTGTGTTTTTGCAACCAATTGCCCTTGCATTTTAATGTTTGAAAAGAGAACTGCTACTTGTTACTAGTGAAAAACTCAACTTGTTTGGAAATTCTCTTTACATTGTTGGATTCTGAAGTATTTAAGCTAAGTGCCACGTGCCATGTAGGTGGTGAGTAAATACTATTAGCAACTACCATTCTCGGTAATTTTAAACCATGTTGAGGAAGGAAGCCAACGGAGGGCTCCATTGAGAACTTAGTGTTCCCTGAACAACAGCGGTGCCTGCCCGGTGTGTGTGCTGTCACCCTGAGGATGGGGGCTGAGAGTGGTGTGTCTGGAGAGCAGGCACAGAACTGGGAGCGGGGTGGGATGTGATGGGGACATTTCCATGGTGGTGACTTCGAGGTCGGAGAGGACAGCCGTGACAACAAATAAATCCTTTGAGGAAAATATAAGCCGATGAATAAATGTTCTGTTCTGCATTTTCAGAGATGATTTAATTAAATTATCTTAGCAGATCTTTTCCATGCCTCTAGGACATACCATGGGTTAAATCACTTAAAAAAAAAGCTCAGTATGGCTAGCCTCATATGGTGGACTCGTGTCCCCTAGTGTCATAAAGGATTTCTTGTGTTTACCTATCCTGCCTAAATTCTAAGACAAAACAGGAACTTTCTTTTTGAGAATTACAGTTTTTCTGACAAATGTCTCTTCTGCAACATTTCTCTTACTTTTCCTCCTGTGTAGGCAGAAGACCATTGGCTAACCCAGTTTCAGCCAGCAAGTCCATGTTTTCCCAAGATTCACATGGATGTTTTACTATTGTGCCAGCAGACTTCTTGCTGATTAAGAATTACTTCCTTTAGTCCTGCCAGTGGCTTACTGGTTGAGTGTTGACCTGTGAGCCAGGAGATCATGGTTCAATTACCAGTCAGGACACAAACCTGGGTTGTAGGCTAGATCCCCAATAGGGGGCATGCTGGAGGCAGCCAATCAATAATTCTCTCATTATTGATGTTTCTATCTCTCCCCCTCTCCCTTCCTCTCTGAAGTTAAAAAATATGTATGAATTATGCCCTTTAGCTCTGAGAAGGGGAGGGAGACAAGAAGTCCCAAGTCCACCGTGAGTTCATGGGATCAGTTGCAGAGGAAACAAGAGTGTTTTATTTAGGTTTCATGCATTTGCCCTTCCCTTTTGCTATGTCAGGTTTCATATGTTTCTAATTAATATACAGGGTGGGATAAAAAGTTTACAGTTTAATGCAATAATTAACAAATAATAATGCAAGAATAAACTCCCATACTCACAACTGTAAGCCTACTTTTGCCCACCTTGCATTACTCATTTAAATACCCAGACTGACACAGCCCTCCTCCTACTCCTCAGGGTCTCTGGAATAGAATTCCCTTGTACCTTTCCTCCCATCCTTTCTTGGCCTTTCCCTGACCTTCTATCCCAATTCGTTTCTTTTTAAAAAGGTTTAATGTTTTGAGAGAAAAATATTTTCTTATTAAATCAGATTGCTCCTCTCACTCTCCACTGTACTATTTTAGTGGAAAATGTTATTAGTAATCATTTTAGAATGTTATAATATTTTATCCCTTTTTTAAATCTCATCTTTTCTAATAACATCCAGAGCTGTTTTTGTCAATGTCCAGATTTCTCTGGTATCTGCATTTCCCACCAAGTAATAGGGGTAGTAGTTTTTTGTTTTTTTTGTTTTGATTTTAGACTTAATCAGCCTGTGTTACTGTTGTAGTCTTGTGTATACTGATTGTTTCCAAAATAAAATTCCACTTTGAGCTTGAATCTTATGCTGAATAATCACCCAGAAAGTAAGAATATGGGGTGGGGCTGACAGGTAAATGCATCAAATGACTCTTAGTAGGTTAATCTGTGAAAGTAAATGAAAATAGAGAGTTTTCTATTCCTAGTGGTTAATAATTTGCTGCCACAGCAAAAGATTTATGATTTTTATCTGTTGGATTCAAGATTTGTGCATGTTAAAGTTAACAGCTTGCTTGCGTGTAGTAGAAAGAAACAATCAAAGAACAGACTCCTCTCTGGAGAAGATGGGGCACTCCTGGTTTCCTAGATTTTGTTGAAAAGATATTTGAGAGTTGAAATGATGAATTGTTGGGAAATCTCATAGGTGCACAGGTATGCTACACTCTAAGCAAATCATTATTTGAAAGTTAACTTTTCTCAAGGCAAAGATACTTCAGTTTCCCAAAGGATTCCCAACAGTTTCTTAGAGCATTTAACCAAGCTAAACAACATCTCACAGATAGTATGGTTTTGTGAACAAGACACCAGTATTTGGTATTCCAAAAAATTTTAAATCACCCCAAAATTTAAAAAGACTCCAATAAGAGGGAAGGGGATTGGGGGGCTGGATGATAGAGGGTGAAGGGATTAAGCAAAAATCGTATACATAACACACAGACACAGACAACAGCATGGTGACAGCCAGAGGGAAAAGAGGATGGGGGTAGGGGGCAGGTGGGCACAGGGGAGATGGAGTGCGCTTCATTTGGGCCAATGGTCACATGATGCAGTGTGCAGATGATGTATTACTGAATTGTACACTTGAAACCTCATGCTGATTGCTCTGCTTTTTCTCACAGCAAAGCATTATGTTCACACCCTGTACTACATGGTTACATATCTGGGGATCATCAGTGTGCTGGGTAGCTCATTTGGTTAGAGTGTTATCCAGATATGCCCAGGTTACAGATTTGATCACCAATAAGAGCACATACAGGAAGAAAGCAATGAATACATGAATAAGTGGAACAACAAATTGATGTAGAACAACAACTCTCTCTCTCCACCCTCTATACCTCCCTCCTTCTAGCTCTCAAAATAATAAATAAATAATCCTATAATAAAGAGGTGATGTAAATTGACCATCACACTCTCACAAGATGGCTGCCTACGACCAGGCTGGCAGGGGGGTTAGTGAGGGATGACCAAACAACTGAACAAGCAGGCTGCATGGGGTGACCAGGCTGGTAGGGGCAGTTAGGAGCGACCAAGCAGGCAGGCAGGTGAGCGATTAGGAGCCAGCAGTCCAGGATTGTGAGAGGGATGACCCAAACCAGCAGTTGGACACCCCCCGATGGGGTCTCAGATTAGAGAGAGCGCCAGCTGGGCCGAGGGACCCCCCCCTCCCCACGTGCATGCACAGGGCCTCTAGTAAGTAAATAAAGTAATGAGGTACTGATACATGCTACAGCATTGATGGACCTTGAAAATATATTAAGTAAAAGAAGCCAGCCAGGAAAGGCTTATATAGTATGATGACTCCATTTATATGAAATGTCCAGTGTAGGCAAATCCATAGAGATAGAATCCAGATTAGTGGTTGGCAGCAGTTGTGAAGGGTGAAGGGTTATATAAGGAATGACTTCTGATGTGCATGAAGTTTCTTTTGGGGTAGTGAAAAAATTCTGGAATTAGGTAGTGGTGATATTGGCACAATCCTGAGATTCTACTAAAAACTACTGAACTGTGCACATTGAAAAGGTGAGTTTTATATTATGTGAAGTATGGCTCAAGGAATAAAAGAAAAGTATGGACTTCAGGCAAACTGCAGCCTGTTGCTGCTGAAGGATGGTAGCATACCTGGGAAAGTGAGCTGATCTTATTAAAAATACTCTGTAGTGTCAACTCACAAGGAATGTGCTGAGGTCATTTTTCCTGTTACTTGCACCTGGTACCCATAGTAGAGCCTCCAAAACGTGCAGGTGATGTGGAGTGGCAGTGCAGGTGTGAGGGATAAAACCCCACTGGGGACTCGTGGGGAATCTTGAGCATCAGGGGAGTCTCTCTGGCAATCTGGGAGCTTGCACTCTGTCTTTACTTTGTACATCTGTCTCTGTGAGTTTCCACATCCTCGGCCATAAAGAAACTAATACCCTAAAAAAAAAAAAAAAGTAAGTTTGCCTAAATATGTCTAAGCATCTCTACTCTGCTTATCTTAACATTTTTTCTTTTAAAAAAAATCCCTTTTAAAGGAGAAGAAATGCAAATAAAGGAGAAGAAAAAAAATCCCTTTTAAAGGAGAAGAAATACACAGTACCCCAAACATAATTGTCAGTTATTAAATGATTATTATCAATAAACTTTTAAGTATGACAGTTTGTTGTAGAAATAGAACCAGTTGATACCCCAGGTTCACTGGCAGATTGAAGTAGAGCATGTGGGTCTGATGATGTCACTGCTATCCTTGGGCATGGTGACCTTAATTTCAGGAGCCTTGAACTCACTGAGCCATGTGGCCCTTGCTAATTAGTCCTGTGCTAGGCTGTTTACCTGTATTGTATTAGTGCAGGCTTCCTACAAAGACAAATATTTTTGAAAACTATAATCATACTTAATGCTCTTTTGTGAGGCCTGGGAGTTTCTATAAAATACATATTATTTTTTAAAAATTTGAAAAATATCTGGAGCAAAGCCACCATAAGGAAGTATGTAACCAGGTATTTCTTAAATACTAATTTTGTATTTAAAAAGCAGAAATACAGTCAGGCCCATGCGGGTTAATTGAGTGTCGACCTACGCACTAGGAAGTCCATAGTTTGCTTGTTCGATTCCCTGTCAGGGCACATGCCAGGCTCTATCCCCAGCAAGGGGTGTGAGGAGGCAGCTCATCTATATAGATGTTTCTCTCTCATTAGTGTTTCTGTCTCTCTCCCTCTCCTTTCCTCTCTCTCTAAAAATAAAAAAAACATTAATTTTTTAAAAAGGAGAACTATAATGAATGTAAACAGCTCCCCCTATCTCCATTAATATTGACTTCCCTAAATATCATTGCCATAATTATAATAGAGTTTATGTTTTAATAGCTTTATAGTATA